GACAGTGGATGCAGAAAGTGCAACTTAAATAATAACTTAAATGTTTAAATGCAGGTGAGGAAGACTTCTAGGTGTCAGTTTTCCTTGAGTGGATGGTCACAGCATTTACAGTATCTGTACTGAACAACACCGCCTTGCACTTACAAACTACTGTTCACGTACGATGAGCATCTCCAAGTGCTTCCCAAAGACAATGGGGATCAATGAGCACTGAGCAAAGGAAGGGGAGTTTAACGCATGGTCAAACAGATACAGTTTTAATAGAAGACACGGAGAGAAGGCTGTTGTTGTTTTCAGTCTACCAGACAAAATGTAAGCATACCAATATAAGTTGCTCATCACAGACTTGTGGTAACCATGTTCTGGGTTGACTCAAGAGTGATGTTTAGATCAGGCAGGCTTTCCATGCAACGCGCCAGCTAAGAACGCTGAGTAATTAACTCTACTTGCAACTGTACAAAAAAAAACCTAAAACCACAGGCTCAAAGCAAATGTTTACAACCACTGACTTTGAGACCAAATTGAAATTGGGGAATTTGAATTCAGCTGGACACGTTCCAGTTTGTGCCAAGTATACTTACTGGGGCAAGTGTTTCCACACTTTCTTCCAAATAACGAATACATGTCTGGCAGAAACACTGGCAAATAAAGTTGATTTCTATTCTATTGACTACTTATTCTTCGTATGCTTCAACTACGCCTTTGGTCACCCTCCTATCTCTACCTAGAATCATCCAGAACTCTGCAGTTCGTATCCTCTCCTGCACCAGGCTCAGTGACCCCTCACCCCCATCCTCAACCAGCTCCCCATCCCCTGGAGGATTGAGTTAAAATTCCTCGTCCTCGTCTTCCAAGGCCCTCCACGGCCTTTCCCCTCCCTACCTCTGCTTCCTGCTAACCCCATATCAACCTGTCCGTTCCCTCCGCTCAGCAGGCTCTGGCCTGCTCCACATCCCTCGCCCGCCCCTCCCTTCAGCCTTTCTGCCCCCACCCTATGGAACTCCATCCCACATTCCCTTCACCTCGCTCCCCCGTTTGCCTCCTTCAAGGCAAAAAACGCAGTCACTATATCAAACCCTCCTCTTCGATCAAGCTGGCCAATCTCTTACCCTCGCCAATCCCGACCCCCAGCTTGGGTCCAAATCCCCACCTGCCAGCGCCTTGAGATGTCCTCCCGATGTGAAAAGTGCTGTACAAATGTAATTTTGCATTGTGTTGTATCCTCCCTGCCCTCCACCCCGCCTGATCCCAACCCCTAGCTCAGGCGCAAATCTCTGACTGTCCAGCAGCTCAGGATGTCCTCGCAATGTGTTAAATTAAACATCTTAACATAAAATTAAACATTTTTATAGACAACCACAACAATGATCTTTTAGCAACTTGACAAGTTAAACGACAAAAATGTAAACACACAAGTGGAAAGCAATGCTGTGGTTTTCGAACCTGAACACCAAAACCATATGTAAAAGGAGAGAAATAGCAGTTTTATCATAAACTTTCATGGGAGCTGTGGTTAGGAGCAACTTAATGTTAGTCACATTTACCAAAGATTTCTTGTTGAATTCACAACTGGATAGTTACCATCAGCTCATTAAGACAAGTTCCAGAGGGTATGCAGCTTTCAAGAATAGTAACGTTTCAACTTCTAAAATAATAATCCCTTCAAAAACATATTGAAAAAATAATTTGGTCACTCGATCCACAACTGTTTGTGGGACACTGCTGTGCGCAATTGGCTGCCGGGTTTCGCCCACAAAATATACAGTCCATCTACTTTACAGGATACTGTGTGAAACGCTGTGAGATGTCTCGAAGACGTGATAAAGCACTATATCAAATGCAAGGATTATCATCATTATTTTATAGTTTAATCACAGCCCATTCAAATCTATATTAAATTTGACAATTTCTGTGAAGAGCTACAGACAACACTACCAAATTGAATAATTGCACATAAAAATATTCATGATAACCAGACCCAGCTTCTTCTACACCTTTTGTTGTCCTTCTGCTGCAGGTTTGGTATTGCTGTGGAGCCAAATATGATGCCAAAAGGAAAGCACAAACTAAAGGATGCAAGAGCTGCTCAGCGGGGTGGCCGTTTCCTTTTACTGTCACTGTTACGAAGCCCATGTCTTTCAAAACATTTATTTTTGTTGAACCTCTGGTATTGTAGCCTTTTAACTTCTACTGATCGCAGTCAGTAAAAAACAACACTCCATGCAGACTTCCGAGTGTGCCCCCAAAGAGTACCGTGGCTCTCTCCTCGGAATCAGAAGGTTGTGGGTTCAAGCCCCACATCGGGACTTGGAATCACATAGTCTAAGATGACACTCCAATGCAGTGCCGGTGGGGTTTTGCATTGTCAAAGGTGCCGTCTTTCGGATGAGACGTTAAACCGAGGATCCGTCTGCCTGTTCGGGTGGACGTTAAAGATCCCGTGGCGCTATTCAAAAAGAGAAGAGTTTCCCCCGCCCCACCATCTCCTGGCAAACAAATCCCCCCAAGATGTTTGTGGGACATTGCTGTGCGCTGTTGTGTTTTGTCACATAAAACCCACAGCCAAAAAGCACTTTATAGTGTATCCTTTGAAGCGCTTTGAGATGTCTTGACAACATGATAAGGTGCTATATTAACTGCAAGATTATTATTTTGATTATTAATCCTAATTCCTGCCTTGTGTCAGCCATTTTTACCATAAATATTCCTCACTGCTTGGAAGTAGAATTCACCAATGGGCCAAAGGACACCTCAGTTGGTATGCCTAAATTTGCAATTGCTGAAATTTACAATTTCGCCCACAAATATACAGTCAATTCACTTTACAGTCTATTCTGTAAAGCGCTTTGAGAGGTTGAGAAGACGTGAAAAGCGCTTTATCAAATGCAAGGAGTATTTTATTTTTATTATAGTCACACAACAAAAACGTTAATACTTGTGTTAATTTACATTACAGCTTGAACATAGCAGGGAATTTCAAAGCAGTTTTTGGCAGACTTAAGACTTTTTAAACTTTGGCACTAACTTGAAGCAATTGACTCTAGGTTAATTAACTGTTTCAATAAAATAATTGAATACCTCGTTAAAGACTGGTTGGGCAGTTACTGGGACAGAGAGACTCAGATGGTGATACACCGCATGAGGATTTTTGTGTCACTGGAGTTGGAGGGAGAAATATTGCCAGTTCAGGCGACCAGACACTGGCTGCTTTTGTTCTACCCCCAAACCCTGACACAGGTGCCCAGCCAATCGTGTAAATTGTTTTGAGATATCCTCCTGACATGAGAGACACAATATAAATGTATTTTCATGCATACAGCAGATGGAAGAATATTTTGGTATTTTTTCTCATCTTTGGAGATTTATCCCGGACTATACCTCATGCGGCAAAAGTGCTTTGAGACGTCTCAATGACATGATAAGACGCATATCAAATGCAAGGATTTTTATATACTTCATGTGATCCATGATGTAGATTTTGGCCAGTCTATAAAAGAAGCAACAACAACAACAAATGGCATTTATATAACCTTTCACATCAGGAGGATGTCCCAAGGCACTGCACAGTGAAGGGTTTGCACGCGAGCTGGGGTTTGGAATCAGGAGGGTTGGAATGCAAAAGGGGGGTGAGGGTGGGAAAGATGACCAAAGACCTTAACAGTTCTCATCTCATCCAATACTTGCTTCTGTTGTTATTACAACAATGGGAGCACTTAATAATGTTTGCAGCCAGCATTTCTGTAATTGACCAAGGGAGCTTTACCGCTGAGCAGATGGAAAATCTAAGCATTTTAACAAGAGTTAAAAATACTGCTTTCAAGAGGGAAGTAGACAGGCATATGAAAGAGAAGGGCTTGAAGGGGTACGGGAATAATGCAGAGTAGTAGGATTTAAGCGATATCCTTGCTCTGTGAGCCAGTGCAAGCTTGATGGGCCAATTTTTATGTTTCTATGAAATCATAATTTTCAGTTTTTTGCCACGAGTACAAATACTGCTGAAATATATAATTGAAACGGAACAGAACACAGTCATATTTGTATCAGTTCACTCGCACTGAACCCTTTTCCTTAAGCTACTCTGCTGGGTCAGTAAAGCCCTATCACCTCCGATCCACGCCCAACTCCACTGGCTTCCCATCACATAGAGGATACAGTTCAAGATCCTGGTCCTCAACTTCAAAGCCCTCCATGTCCTTGTTCCCCCCTATCTCTGTGACCTCCTAGCCCCCTCCCATCCTGCCCGCACCCTCCAGTCAGCGGGCTCCAGCCTGCTGCACGTCCCTCAACTTTGTCCGCCCACCATTGTCGGGCAGGCCTTCTGCTACTCTGTCCCCACCCTCTGGAACTCCATTCCGCAGTCCCACCACCTCCCTTGCCTCTATCAAGACCCATCTCAAGACCCTCCTCTTCGACCGTGCTTTCGATCACCCTGCTCCTCCCCAATCCCTTCATCCTCCCGAATCCCGACCCGTAGCTTGGGTCCGAAACACTGACTGTCCAGCGCCTTGGAACGTCCTCCATGCAAATGTAATTTTGTTGTTGTTGTACAGAGCAAAAACATTTCCAATGTAGTCAATGGCACTCCATACCTGATCAACACCAATTATATTACTTGCTGGTTGTAAAATGAAGAGTTCCACTTCCATGCTGTGATTACTGAGTGTTCTGGTACACAATCAGAACAGTTAATTTCAATGACCTGTCCAGAATTCCAAGTTGGAAGTCAATCCTAAAGGTTATTAAACTGTGATACATCAACGTACTGAGCATCATGATTCAACCATCATCGCCCCTCACATACGCTGGGATAAAATAACCTGTATAAAAGGCCAATTAAAGTATACCATGCTAAATATACCAAATTGTAGGCACTCAAAAATGCTAATTAATTGAGTAAAATCTAGACCTAGGTGAAATTTCTCTTTGTGCTTTCTTCAAAGTGAATTTCCTTACTCTAAAATGCAGTGATTTAAACTCCCAAACAAATAACTTCTACACACCTGCAATCTTTATGTTCAGGTTGGCATCCAGGAGCAGATTTTCAGCTTTCAGATCTCTATGCACAATGTTCCGACAGTGGCAGAAATGGACTGCTGCGACGATCTGCTTAAATTTCTTCCGTGCTTCTTTCTCTGCCATTCGTCCATGAGCTACAAGATGGTCTATATTGAGGGGGGAAGAGAAGACAAAATAAATCTATTATATTTTACCAGCAAATGATAACACTATTATAGCACTATTATTTCACCTTGGCTCAACTCGAAAAAACATACAAGTTTAACAATGAATATTTATTGGAGCTAAAATCAATGTCACTGCACACACATCGATATTACACCCAAACCACCTACCATTCAATGTGAACATTTTACACAGTACATCCATCCTCCAAAAAATGTTCCATGTTAATGTACTGCATTATAAGTATTTCCTCCTTATGGTAAAATAATAAGAAATAATAGTTTAACATAATTTTAAGATCCATAAAGAAAATAGCACCCTAAAGAGTTAATCCTTTAAAATTACACCAACCACAATAATATAAAGCGGGCACCTCATAGTTAACTTAAAGCAAAGACCCAGAGATTCTCATTTCCTTGATGTGGCAGATTAAAGTGAGAGTGATTTGTAAAATATTTACAAATAGATTAATGCACAATGTTGCTTGAAAAGCAAGTATTAAAAGCCAATCTCTACTTAGCCTCATGAGTAGGCAGCAAACTGCTTCCTTATGAATCCTGACCGATCAAAATGACAAAGAAATACATTCAACAACCTATTTAATGAATTGTTGTTTGTCAATGTTTCATAAAACGTTCATATCCAAGATAGAATAATGCCATAGAATAGTGTGTCCATGGACATTAGATGTTCTCCCACTGGATTTCCTGCTGACAAGCTACAATGGGTTCCACATGAGTCCTTAAAGTGCATTTTAAACCTTAAAACTATTCCAAGCATTATGAAGGATTGTTGCGATATTACACAAAAAGAGATGCTTCTCAATAAGATGTAAGGCAGCACAGACTTGATGTACTGAATAACCCGTTTCTCTGCTGGAAAGGTTCTCTGAAAGGATGAGCTCTTTCCTTTGAAGAACATAATTTTTAGAAGTGACAACAATTAACTCAAGGAATTCAAGCAACGTGAAGTTCGAGCAGAAGAACCGCTGAAAACAGGAGAAAAAAGTTTTGAGTATAGAACAATATCTTCTATGCAGTACAGAGAGATGGAACTGGCAATTTTTCAAGCCAGTTTCATGCCCAACCAGCTTGCCCATTTTAAGACCACACCAGCCAGCCCCTCCCAACACAATGACACACACACACATACAGCCTCAAGCTAAATTTTTCCATGGAGGGCTTTGTATGTAAGGACCAGGATCTTGAACTGGATCCTCTGAAGGATAGGGAGCCAGTGGAGTCAGGAAAGAATGCGGGAGGTGGGGTCGTGGAGTTTGGTGCGGGAGAGGACACGGGCTGCAGAGTTCTGGATTGTCTGTAGCTGTGGAAGGAGGGGTTGGGAAGGCCGACAAGCAGAGCGTTTGCATAGTCGAGCCTGGAGGTTATGAAGGGATGAACAAGAGTTTCAGCGCCTGAGGGGTGAGATAATGGCGGAGTCGGGCCATGTTACGGAGGTGAGGGAAGGCAGAGCGGGTCATGGCTTGAATGTGGGGGAGAAGGCAGTTGAGGGTCGAACAAGACACCTCAGTTCCTGACTGGTTTGTGAGCTGTCGTGTCCAACCATGGAGGGTGATGTTGTCAGAGCCTGAGGTGCGGAGGCGCTGGTGTGAGCCAATCAGGAGGGCCTCAGTTTTTAGGGGGATGGGAACTGAACCAGTGGACAGGGAGAGGATGATGACATCGGACAGGAGGGCGGGCCAGAAGGTGGAGCTGGGAGGCGAGGAGAGAGGTGGGAATGGGATCAGGTGGTGGGTTTGAGTTTGCGGACAATCATGGTGAGGGAGGAGAGAGCGATGTCGGCGAAGGAGTGTAGAGGGGGATGGGTGGACGGTGGGTCATGAGGGAGAGGTGATGTGGGGGTGGCTGTGGACAGGGCTGAGGTCGCTGAATGTATCCCCTCGATTTGGGATTCGAAGAAGTCCAGTATCTCCTCACAGTTGGGAGTTTGAGGAGAGGATGGGCGAGGCGTGGGAAGGTGGATGGAGGAGACGGTTTGTGGTGGAAAAGAGAAGCCTTGGTTGTCCTTTGCCTCCACGATAACCTCGGAGTAGGAGGATTTGGCGGAAGCAAGAGCGCAGCGGTAGATCTTGGTGTGGTGAAGGCAAATCTGGCGATGGACCGTTAGTTTGGATTTGGGCCAGGCGCGTTCGGCAGCTTGCACTTGTGCCTTGAGGGAACGGAGATGGCTGATGTACCAGGGGGATTTACAGGAGTATGAGGCAGCTCGGGAGGTGAGGGGGCAAGGGAGTCCAGATTGGAGGAGAGGGAGTTGTGGGAGTTGTCCAGTTCATCTTCCATCTTCCTGGCAGTTGTCATGGCACATGTCATGTCCCAAACTATACAATAAGAATTTGCTGGACAAAAAAAGAATTTGCTGGGCAAAAAAAGACCCTGGGCAAGGTCCATCTAGTTTGCTACATAAGAGACAAATCGTTAAAAGCTGCAGGACCTCGAAGTAATTATCCTTGTATTTGGAAGGAACTTACACAATTTGCCACAACCCTTCACTCTAAAGATATTAAACCAGGTGTGACAGAGATTAATGTCATTAGCACATGCTATGTCCTTCTGGCAGTGAGCTCCACTCTTCATTTTAGAAATGCTGTCAAGTGCAAAGGTAGAATAAGGGCAAGGATCAAGTCTTGAAAACGTGCAGCCCTAACACTGTCCTTGGTTAAGTATTTCCAAAACAGTTTAAGTGTGGGGAACATTTTTTTCAGAAGCAAGATTCCTTAGGATTACTTCAAACACACGAATACATTTATTATGGGCACTGTAACTCTGGAATGCAATTATGGGTTTGCAGAAAATTTCTACAATTTATATCATTATGGATAAGTGCGTTTATTGGCATATTTTTTCATTCCCTCTTAAGAAGCTTTTGCCACGCACCGTCCTTTTGCTGGAGGGGAGAGGGCAAAATACACGAACTCCTTCAATTCTCATGCCAAATGGCCAAATGCTCGCCTCGCAAAAAGTCCTGGGTTTGATTCCTGGGTAGGGCGAAACATTGGGCAAATTTCCTTACTCCACACGCCTCTGTTTACCTAGCAGTAATTAGCAACCCCGTTGTTAGTCGACTGGCAGAATTGCTTTCCTGGTGGTAATAATTTCTTTTAAAAAATTAATAAATTTGTCACTCAATCCACTCCTGTATATGGGACGCTGCTGTGCGCAATTGGCTGCCGCATTTCACCCACAAAATACACAGCCAATTCACTTTACGGTATATATAGCTGCACCTCTGGCGCTGACAGCATCAGCATCCAAGGCTGCACTCTCCACCTCTCAAAGCCATCAGGAACCTCGGTTTCTGTTCGACCCTGAGCTGTCCTTTCTCCCTCATATCCGCACCACAACTGGCACCGCCTTCCATCACCTCCGGAATGTCGCCAGACTACGGCACTACCTCACCCCTCACGCGGCTGAAACTCTGGTCCACGCCTTCATCACCTCAAGGCTGGACTATGGGAACTCTCTCCTCGCCGGCCTTCCCGCCACCTCCCTCCACACTGCAGGTCATTCAGAACTCTGCAGCTCGTGTACTGTCCCGCACCAGACACCGAGACCACATCACTCCCACCCTCGCTCGCCTCCACTGGCTCCCCATCCCCCAGAGGATCGATTTCAAGACCCTCATCCTCACCTACAAGGCCATTCACGGCCTCGCTCCTTCCTAACTCTCTGACCTACTATCCCCCTACCTACCTGCCCATACCCTCCGTTCCTCTGGCTCCGGTCTGCTCCACATGCCCCGCCCCAACCGCCCTACCATCGGTGGCCGGGCCTTCAGCCTCTCAGCCCCGAGGCTCTGCAACTCCATCCACCAGTGCCTTCGCCGCTTCCTCCCTTTCCTCCTACAAGGCCGGTCTCAAGACCTTTCTCTTTGACCGTGCCTTCAGCTCCCCTCTCGACTCTCTACCCCCTCCTCGCTCCCTCCCTTCCCTCCCCTCACCCTGACCATTTCCCCCCAATGCTCGAGTCCTGACCCAACTGTACAGCGCCTTGGGACGTCCTCCCGACGTGAAAGGCGCTCTATAAGTGAAATCTTGTTGTTGTTGTTGTTGTTGTTGTTGTTGTATATTCTGTGAAGTGCTTAGAGACGTCTCGAAGATGTGATAAGGCACTGTATCAAATGCAAGGATTATCATTATTATTTTGTGTATGCATGGCAAATGCTGAGGTCAGTCTGAAATGGAATTTGAACCCGCAGCACAGGGATATAAAGCATGCATGCATTTTAACTTCCATTCCAGACAATATTTCTGATAAATATATGTATTTTTTAAATCTTAAAGAAAGTGCTCTATATTATAGTGACGGCCAGAATTCAGAAGGAAGCAACAAATCACATAATACGAATAGTGGCAAGTTTTAACAACACATTGCAATTTGAGTCCTTTTCTGTTTTTACCAAATATTCTCTCCTCGGGTGAAAGGATTTCATGGCCTGGATCATGCACTTTTCCATAGAAATCAATCACAGTATTGGTTGGTTGTTGAAAAACAGGATAGTTTAGACTCTGAGGTCTATTTCTCCCTCTCCCCTCAAGAGGTAGAACTCGCCTCGAGGACAGAGCAAGATTCTTCCACCACTCGAGACATAATCAATATATAATATATATATTTATTAATTTCTTGGAAACAATGGATAGCTCTTCATTGCTGCACACTATCTTTTATTCGAATACAGTAAACCCACTGCAATCCCCTTCATGTGACTGCAGAATTTGTTCAGTATGTGGCAGAGTGTTGTTTGTATGCTGCTATAGTCAGTTCTTTGTACAGTATTCAATTAAGCACAGCCAGAGGAATGTGGCACATGCTGTTCTGTAAACATCGCTGGAGTAGCTTCCGTCTTTCTCCTGCCCTTTTATTATTGATTTTGCAACAAAACTCGGGAGTTCCTCACTGTAGGACATGTTTCGATACAGTCCCAAATAAATATTCTGGGTTTGCATTTCATACTGGCTGATGTTTGATAAAGGCTCATCCTTTTCATGCACAAAAATACATTTTAAAATCTTTGTAACATTTTCCTTTATCTTTTAATCATTAAGCAACCACCACCAACAACTTGCATTTATATAGCATCCTTCATGCCGGATTGCGTCCCATAGCGCTTGATCAGTTTGGAAAATTGTGGGAACAAAATAATTAATTCCAGAGACATTTAGTCTTTTGGGACCTTTTCTTGTGTGCATTAATTCGATTTGAGGCATGCCAGGTCTATTAATGAGCGATGTGAGAAAAATGAGTTGGTCTTTTTAAACACTGAATCATCTAGGAAAAATCTTCAGACAAACTGTACTTTATGCAGTTGTCAGTGTAAAATAGTGAAAAAAAATCCAAGATCAATAAAATATATCTAAAGATTGATACTTTATAAATCGAGTCGATCTTGATCCATTCAGTCAGATATTCCAAAGGCTGTGTTGGTCCAAATAGCCCTCAAAATTTGTGGAGATTGAGTCAACACAAACAAGTGAAAGGTAATGTCAATACCTGCTGATGTTGAGGCATAGTTTCTGACGTTTGTGTATTTTCAAAGAATTGTTCCCAGTCCACAATCCACTAAAATATTCTGACCATATTTAGTGGGTCTGATTACCCAAGTTTTGCTATGTGACACAGTGAGAGATGCAAGGTTAGATCTTTTAAAAAAAATATGGGATACAGTGCCAAAGTGCTTGTTCCTCCTGTCCTGAAAATTTAAGATAGTTAACACCTTAAGAAATTTTGGAAACAGTTCCATGTAACTCTCTCTCTATAAGATATGTTGGCCACTACACAAGTGGAATGAGCTCTAAACTCTATGAGAATATATATTATAAAGCATAAAAACCTAGACATTTAAATGGAAATGATGTACTTTGTTTCAGATTTGTATCTAGGTCCAAAGAAGGTTTCACCAAAAGATCCCAAAGCTTCCGCAAATCATTCTTGCCCTATAGGCACAAACCAATATTTAATTTTAAGTCAAAACATGTTCTCCATGTTCTTAAAATTGCAAAGCCATCTGGTAGAGATGTTATTTGGTTTTAGAGAGAAACATATCTAGCATCATAATTTTAATCCAGATTACACATACTGTAACAAGTGATGGAATTAGACAAATACATTTCAACTCGTAATCTTTCCGTTTACAGTGGTTAAGAAGCACTCAAACAAAAGGTCACAGGCACAGGAGAGTAAATCGCTGATGTTGCAGAAATACAGCTGATCCTCAGATGAATAAGCAACAGTCACAAAGGTTTTCTGTGTAGTAGAAAACTTACCACCAGAAGACAGAATGTTCAGGTCTATTTTGAAGTAATAAAATAAAATTAGTTTAAGAAATTAGTATCCATTCCTAGATTTAAAAATCAAATAGATATACTCACCAAATATCTCTCCTCCACTAGCATATTCTGTCACCAAATAAATCATTCTTTCTGTCTCCATAACCTGGAAAACAAGGTAAAGTAGTGGCTGAAAAGGGCGCAACCAACCAGAAAAAGGCACTTATTAACTTTTAAACACACCAACATAAGAGCATAAGAATTGCTAGATGAAAGAAGACCAAGGTCCATCCAGTTGGCCATCCACCAGCCTGGTAGTCGCAAGCAAATATCATGTTCCAAACTATACACTGTATTCCACAACATTATTTCCTAAAACAGGTCAGGCTACTTAAGCAAGCAACCATTGGTTCACCACATTTCAAGGGTAGATTGCCCCAGATTTAAATAATTGCAGAATTATCACCTAACAAAATCACTTTTAGGCGTTCAGCTCCCCCACCAAGCTCGTCTCCCTGCCGTTTCTGTGAAGCTCTTTAAGACGTCCTCTCAATATAAAGGTCGAATCATTTTTGTAGTAAAAGATTTGTTTTTCTCATTGCAGGTATCAAAACTGGCAGTTTTATAATTCATTCCTTATACCCATTGGCTAATGTTGTATCTGTAAACATCAGTCAACAATGATTTCACCTTGGCTTTAACATTTCAGAATCTTTTAAAACCCCCAAGAGCAAAAACTGGCCGGAACAAAGACCGACAAAGAACAGTCTACACACAAAAAAGCAATCAATACCCAAACTGAAGTGTTTCAACTTTCACAATATGGCAGCTTGTGTTCAGAATGTGTTAGTGCACCACATTGATGCATCTCGGGAAATCTGGCAAGTGTCGTGCAAGTTAAGGCCTGTAACATCAAGATGTAATTGTCTTGATTCTGCTATCCCAGACACCAATTAGCAGAAAATAATGAAAAACATTTTCTCACAGTGACATCTCTTCATCTAACCACAGTTCCCTTTTATGTCTTAGGGTGTAATAAACAAAATTATACTGGTAATGACACTTCATTATACTTTCAAGAATAAAAACCCATAACTCAAAAGAGAGCAAATGCAGAACTTACAATGCTCTAACCACATGTGAAACTGTGGAAATTTACCATTACACTTTGAAGTATTTTATTAGTTCAGTAATGTCAGACATAAAGGCTTGATAAGACTTCCAAACTTTAAATATTGCAATCAATGATATGTATAACAAGAAGGAAATAGAACAATATTGATTTTTTGTTGTACCTCATCATATTAATGATTTGCAGTATTTACTGTTTAGTCTAGTGCCTGCGTTTGCAGCAGCAACTTTGCACACAGCAAGGTCCCAAAAAAACATCACGACCATTTAATCTGCAGTATTGTTGGCCAGACACTGAAACATCCTATTTTACAATCATGTAATGGGATCTTTAAGGTCCACCTGAGCAGACAGATGGGTCCTCAGTTTAACATTTAATCTGAAGGACACTGGAGTGTCATCCTGGACTACAAGCTCAAGTCCCAGATTTAAACCACAACCTTCTGACCCAAAGGCAGGAGTGTTACCAAGTGAGCCATCTGACAACAGATGCATTGGACTGAGTTACATAGCTGTCAATTACAAATGCCAAATACTAAAGCGGTTACATATTCATCTAAACCCCAAAAGGATTTAGATATGTCGGAGATCTTTTACTTTACATAATACTTACAAATTAAAGAAAACTTTAAAGTCTTGAAGTAAAATTCTCTCTTATTACTAACGCCCATAAGAAACAGAAATAAAGTTTAGTCAATAATTGTCATTTTGCTCACAAAATATGTCTCTACTTCAACTAGTTGTCTAATCAATTGCCTTAAAAGTTAACATTGCTATGTCAATTACAGTGACCGCTTTACCAGATATTAATGATCTTTTAAAGAAAAAGATGCTTAGAAAAAAATCATAGACGCCTCTCTCACCTGGTACAATCGAACAATGTGTGGGTGCCGCAGCATTTTCATGATTTGCACTTCTCTGAAGATCTTTTTCAGGTTTTCCTCATCGAGTTGTGTTTTATCTACTATCTTTATAGCAACCTGAAATCCAAACACGCAAAAAGATTAGAAAATGTTTTTAAATAGACATCAAGAGCTAAACGTTTCACCCACAAAATACAGTCTACTCACTTTACAGTATTTTCTGTGAAGCGCTTTGAGACATCTCAAGACATCAAAGGTTCCACAACAAATGCAAGGATTATTATTTATAAACATCAATTTTCAGCAACATACTTTAACTTCAAGTCTGCAGTGATTCCTGCTATCTTGCTTTATGTGTATTTTCAGTAGACAGTCGAGCGCATCAGAGGCACCTTCACAAATTTAAAATGCTTTATACAGTAGAAATGAATGTTTCAAACAAGAACCAAGAGAGCTACTGATTTCAACCACCTATTACAAAATAATATTTTTTGCATTTGCTACAGCGCCTTATCATGTCATTGAGACGTCTCAAAGCATTTCACAGGATATACTGTAAAGTTTAGTGACTGTATATTTTGTGGCGAAACACAGCAGCCAATTGCGTACAGCAGTGGCCCACAAACAGTTGAGTGATCAAATTATTATTTTTTTTGAAGGGATTATTACTCTCAGGAAACAATCCTCCAATTGACTAACAATGGGTTCCTCAATACTGATAGGTAAACAGAGGTGCGTGGAATAAGGAAACTTGTCTAAGGTTTCGCCCCGCCTCGGAATCAAACCCGGGTCCTCTCTCTCGCTTGCCAGGCGAGCGTGCTAAGCACTACACTACAGGACTCCACTCCAAAATTACAGAAGACATATCACAAATCCTGATAAATGATGGCCTAGATTAAAGATCTTGCCAGTGAAGCACTCACCTATGCCAAGGTCTTTAATCTTGGGTTTGGTCATCATTAAAACTATGGGGCTATTGCAGAACACGACAACCTAGATTTTGATCGTTGCCAGCACGCAGATCAAAAATCCCAAATCTCTTTATTTGACAAATGCGTGGCCAGTGGCTGCAAATAATTTACACATTACGCTTAGTAATGTACCAATTACCTTCACAGCAAACAAGGAATGATCAGCATAGTGTATGCATTACTAACTAAACACTTGTTTCTAGGTTTTATCGCACTATGGTAATAAATCCATATTCAGAAACAGATTCCAATTTTTTCAGAAAGCATCTTTTTTTAGGGGGAAAAAAAATCTTTGCTAAAACACGACTTTAACGTTATTTGGGAAACACTTATATAACATAAAATAAGCCAAACCTCTGCTTATAACATTACTCATCGCCTCTCTTTAGCGTTAGTATTCCATCTACCTTTCTGTAGCCAAGTCAAACATGCTCTTGTTATGTCAAATACTTTGCATCTTTTGCCATCTCTATCAATCACCACAGCAAATTCACACAGCAAATCTCTTTCGCCTGTTATCAAACCACCCCCCACCCCCACGCCCCACCACACACTTCAAGTCTGCAGTGAAACATGATGTAAATATGATAGATACTAAGATAATACTGTAGTATAAACATCCATAGAACTCGCTCAACAGAATGATTTTCAAGTGTATAAACAAGGTAACAATCTACAAGAGTTATTTTCGGGCTTAAGATTTAATGTTTGTTTCTCTTGGAATTTAACATCAATTTGAAAGATTTATGAAGGAGTGAAACATATCCCAGTCACCTCAGTGAAATGGTTTCTGTATTATTCAATTCCAGGGATTTACTTCTGAAATAGCTTCACAGGACTTTTGAAAAAAGAATATCTGTACTGATTTCCTGCATTAGAGATTAGTAATAATATGGTACATGTACAATAATAATAATCCTTGCATTTGATATAACGTCGTTGAGACGTCTCAAAGCGCTTCGCAGAATATACTGTAAAGTGAACTGACTGTATTTTGTGGACGAAAGGCGGCAGCCAATTGCGCACAGCACACAGTCAATTGCGCACAAACAGTCATGGATTGAGTGTCCAAATTACTATGTTTTTTTAAGGGATTATTACCCTGAAGGGATTATTGCCAACATAAGCTTTTCTAAGATTATTCCTTGCATATTAAAAGTATTCAAACCATGAGTTTGGAAGTCAGGTTTTAATACTTCTATTTTTGCTTTGAGCGGTGCAACGCATTTGATTTGAAAATCTGATATGGTGTTTCAAGATTACAATTTCATTCTTCTGAAGGAAAGCTTTCTTTGTAAACCACAATTATATTACGCCAAGAAAAAGCATCTGCATCAAACGTCAAGTGGTGCAATGATGTATTTGACTCAACCTCGTGATCCTGTCTGAAGAAATATGGATAAATTGTCAAATATTACTCCTTCTGTAAATCAGCCGGGGTCGTAACAGAGACCGGCTGGAGTTCACTCATTAGCAATATTGACAGTGGTGTATGCTCAGTGCACTTTGTTGACCTACTCTGGGATGCTTGCTTAAATTCATAAGGCACAACAGGACCAGCAACAAGCTCGCGGTTGCTAAGGTGATGTCATGCGGAAACAATTAAACTGTTACCGGCAGCCTTGCATAACAGAAGACTTTGGAAAATACTCCCCATTTCCCGTGACAAAGGTTACAAGTCATTTCAAGTGGAAACTTGCATGCCTAGGCAGCTACATTGGCACGATGTTTAAAAGAAATTGCATCCCAATGAAATAAAGCCCAAAACATACCGTACCTTTATACACACCCCAGACTAAATAGTGAGCTGACCTTGATTAACTTCTTTTAAATAATTCTAGACAAAAATCTCTAAATGAAAAAAAATGCCAATCCTTGAACGGTTTATAAAACTATTAGTCACAGTTTCGTTTTATGCTATTATTTGGAAGATGGACGTCAAACACATTTATGGAAAATAAACTGAGTGGTGTCAGCTGCCTAACCTAACCCAACGGTACAAGTCAGTTGGACAGACAACTAGGATTTTTTATCCCCAGTCATGGATAAGGATTTTGCTCGTACAAAATTAAAAATATTTAAAAGAACTTGGATCTCTCTGTCGACAATTTACAAATATAAATAATAATAATCTTTGCATTTGATATAGCGCCTCATCGGGTCTTCTAGATGTCTCAAAGGGTTTCACACAATATACTGTAAAGTGAATTGACTGTACGTTTTGTAGGCGAAATGCGGCAGCCAATTGCGCATTGCAGTGTCCCAAATTATTTTTTTTTTTAACAAAATTATTACCCCAGGAAAAGTGATCCACTTTCAATCCAATCGACTCCAATCGACTAACAACCGGGTTCCTGCTTACTGCTAGGTAAACAGAGGATTTTGGAGTAAGGTTTCAACGATTCGCCCTGCCAGGAATCGAACCCAGGTCCTCTCACTTAAATATATGGATATATTTAAGCTGCAAGCTGTGTGGCTGTCGTCACTGTGAAATACTGCAGTCCAAAATAATAATAATAATAATCCTTGCATTTGATATAGCGCTTTTCACGTCGGGAGGACGTCCCAAAGCGCTTCACAGAACACACTGTAAAGTGAATTGACTGTATATTTGTGGGTGAACGCGGCAGCCAATTGCGCACAGCAATGTCCCACAAACAGTCGTAGATTGAAAATGACCAATTTATTATTGGTTTTGGTTTTGGAGGGATTATTATTAGGCTCTGTGTGGAGTAAGGAAACTTGCCCAAGGTTTCGCCCTCTGCCTGGAATTGAACTCAGGTCTCTCGCTTGCAAAGCGAGTGCTCTAACCACTGAGCTACAGGACTCCACAAATAACAAAACAAGCAAGAACAATTTGAACTTCAGCAAACTTGGTAAAACAAAAGTAATATTTATTCCAAACATGCAGAAATCCAGACATATAGAGTGCATTGCTAAACTTTATTCACACTGTAAGTGCACAAAGCACTCTCCACTCACATAAACTAGCAAGGCCACCACACCACTGAGTACTGTGCTTTTAGTTGGAAGCTGAGAAAAGAGCTAATCAGTCTGAAAGATACAGTACTGCAAGTTCTGTTTCCACCTTGCTGCATTGTAAAGACATAGCAATTCAGAAATACAGTAGTACAGCAACAACAACAAATGGCATTTGTATAGCGTCTTTCATGTCGGGAGGATGTCCCAAGGCACTGGGACATTATGTTGGCTGCTAAACTGAGTAAAAAAAATTGAGAACTCAATTGAAATGTACTGCACATAACTAGCTCAGTGGTTAGAGTACTCGTTCAATTCCCGGCAGAGGGCGAAACCTTGGGCAAGTTTCCTTACTCCACACAGAGCCTAATAATAATCCCTCCAAAAAAACAATAATAAATTGGTCATTTTCAATCCACGACTGTTTGTGGGACATTGCTGTGCGCAATTGGCTTCCGCGTTCGCCCACAAATATACAGTCAATTCACTTTACAGTATATTCTGTGAAGCGCTTTGGGACGTCTAGAAGACATGAAAAGCGCTATATCAAATGCAAGGATTATCATTATTATTATACACTATTTGGGTTCCTACAAATCCCTTTAAAAACTATCTGCTGGCTGAATCAAATGGGGATGGGAAGTAAAGAGGGAAAGAGGGGAATGGATTGGCATGTCCTAATTATGTAGGTTTTAACAGGATTAATCCTGTAATTAGACAGGATTGCTCCAAGGCTTTAAAGGATCTTAACCAAATAGTAACTTTTTAAATGCATAGGGTGGAAACACAAAGTTTTGTTGGTACAACAACAGTTAGGATGTTTCTTTACATGATTGGAAAAAGAAGCTGAACTTTAGTTGTAAGTCCTTGGCCAAAATGTAATTTTAGATCCCAGTTTCTCAGGAAAAGCATTAAAAGTTGATCTAAATAAGCAATCAACAATGAAAGTACAGGAAGAAAAAGAAATAAGCACTAAATTTACATTTTATCAACAAGTAGTTTTGAGCATTATTGGGACATTAGGTCATACAGCATTTTTCTTCAATGCAATAATGATCGGTATCACAGGAACTTAAAAGTTTAAGCCATGATCAAAGAATACCAGTCCTGATGATTGTTTGAAAGAATTTGCCAGCACGGTAAGCATCAGTCTAAACTAAACTGCTG